TTATAGATTAATATTATTTATTATATTTAGTATACCTGTATGCAGTGGCGTACCTGAAGGGCCCACGGCGCGGAGGGGCCCCGAGCTTTGAGGCGCCCCGCTAAATGGGTTTAATGGGTTTAATTAAATTAAAAGTCTTTCCTAATGCTACAATGTCATGTACTTTTAATATAACTTAACGCAAACGCCCTGTGTTATATATATATAACACAGGGCGTTTGCGTTAGGACATATAAGAAATATTTTGTATAAATTACAGCCTAAAATGAGCATTTTTTAAATAAAAAATAAATTTGATGAATAAATACTTACTTACTCTTTATGCATCACTTGTTCGACAAGAAATAAAAGGCCATCTTGTTTACTAATCATTCTGGTTGTTATTTATTCTTAGTTTGTATTAACACATAAACAAATCGGTTTATATTGCTGGTTTTACTAGGTAATTGCGAATTAATTTGCATACTATTATAGATTAATATTATTTATTATATTTAGTATACCTATATGCAGTGGCGTACCTGAAGGGCCCGCGGTGCGGAGGGGCCCCGAGCTTTGAGGCGCCCCGCTAACACTTAAAAAAACTTTAAATTTCAATCTATTTTCTGTAGATTTTAAAAAACAAACCAGCCAAACCCATGTAAACACAGGGCATTTGCGATGATTCATATTAAATGTGCAAGTATTAAGAAATGGGTTTTATACTCAAGAATCAAACCTATTTAACCCGTTAAATGGGTTTAATTTAATTAAAAGTCTTTCCTAATGCTACAATGTCATGTACTTTTAATATAACTTAACGCAAACGCCCTGTGTTACATAGGACATACCTATATAAGAAATATTTTGTATAAATTACAGCCTAAAATGATTTTTTAAATAAAAAATAAATTTGATGAAAAAATACTTCTTTCTTTTTAACCCTTAAAAAATTAAATTAAATTATAAAATGTTTAAATATATAACGGTGCGGTAGTTTGACCATTTAAATCAACTTTAAATTAACTTATTTCCCTTTCTATACATAGTCGTAACATGACATAAGGATGATTTTGATCAAAAATTAAAAAAATCTATCGAGCACTTTTTCTTACTAAGCAAAATCCCGTATGTTGGACCCTTACCTTGCATTCACTAAATATTTACTCATATTATATTCATTTTTTTAATTTTATTTTGTTCAGTTCAAACCTCGGTTAAAACTAACTGCAAAATATTATTTATTAGAAAAAATTTAAATTTAATAATAAAAACGTATACACAACTACTTCGTTGTAAATAAAGAAAAATGTATACCTAATTGTACAAAGTTTTATTTTTAAATACATAATATTTTATTAAATAGACTAATAAAATATTTATTGAACATTATTTATGAGCAGTTTATTAATTTTTATGATATAAGAAACCCGTATGTAGAGAAGTTCAATCCTAGACATGTTTTTAACCGTGCGTTAAAATGATAAAAATACAAGGCGGCTGCTCCATTCCAAAACACAGTATCCAAAAGTTTTCAGAACATGTTTTTTTATATTTAAACGCACCTTCTAACACGGCCTATTTGTTGATGAAAAACTCTAACACATAGCAGTAATATCAAAAGAATTCACTAAATACCCTATAGAGGCCAAATCAAAAAACTAAAACACGTTTTTCTCACAATTTTGTTTTTTACACATATGGTGTTTTAAAATGAAGCAGCCGAAGGGATTATTAATTTAAATAAAAAATATCTGCATGAATAAAAGGATTTTATAGGCGGCAATCCAACATAGTAGGCTTAGCCTAAATGTCAAGTCTCAAAAAAAACAAAAGTATGGTTAACTGTTTTAGTGCTTAAGCTAAGTGACTTAAATAAAATACAATTTTTAAGGGCCCAAAATACGGGGTTTTTGCTTAATAAGAAAAAGTTCTCGATAGATTTTTTTAATTTTTGGTTAAAATCATCCTTACGTCATATAGAATCGATGTATAGAAAGAGAAATGAGTTAATTTGAAGTTGATTTAAATCGGCAAACCACCGCACCGTGATAAGAGTAAGTAAAATAGACCAAACATGTTAAAAAAAAATCAAATAACAAAAATTTCCATTAAATTTTTCCAACCTTTCGTAATATAAAAAAATATTTTTTTTTTATATTTTAAAACCTACAGTCTATAAAATGAAATTTTTAAAATATTGAGTCTATAAATGGTTTGTTAAATAAATATTGATTAATATTAAATAAATAAAAACTAAATGCTCTTAATACGGCCCTATTCAATGTTTTAATTTTTTACGTTTAAGCAAATCATTTAAACGTCGATCTCATGATTAAAGTATGTCAACAACGCAACTTTATTGACAGCTAAATGTCAAACGATGCTGTCAATTTCTTTTCACACAGACCTGTCACTTTTCACACAGAAATGTCACTATACATTCATGTTTTGCCTTGCCAAGGAAAAGATTCATTTTCTAAGCAACGATGCCATCATGAAAAGTGACTTTTACATAGTGGTCGTAGAAAAAAATTAAACCGTTTTACACCTCCGTCTGAATACTGAATATTATAGTTTTTATATCTAAGCGGGCGGTGCACCGTGGTGGAAGGAATTAAAAAAATTATACCAAAATGTTTATTCTTACCATACACAAGTATTCTACACAGGCGTTTTCAATTTTAAAAATATTCATATTTCGCAATTTCCCAATATACTACTACTACTACTCTACTACTACTACTACTACTACTACTACTACTACTACTACTACTTCTACTACTACTACTACGCATTTAATTAGAATATTTTTTTAAGATTTTGTCACATTATTTTTAGGTTAGGTTCAACTCACATTATATTATCTTAGCTTCATTTTGGTACTGAGGGATATAATAATTTGACTTTTGAACTAGTATTAATATGAAATATTGGGAAAAAAACCAGGCCTTAAAAAATGTTTTTTTTGGGAAAAATTGTTTTTTTTAAATATATGTATACATTTAAAAAAAGTAGCAATCAACATTAGTTTAATTTAAAAAAAATAAAACTAAACATTGAATTAATTTAAATTGATTTAAAAAAGATATGATTATATTCAGCGTCGGAAATTCACTTTTTTCTCGATATCAGTGTACGGATAGTACCTACATATGTATCTGTAAAAATTTGTATTACTTTTGAATAAAATAAGAAAAATGCAAGTCAATTTTTCTGAAACTTTCCCAATTTTTTTCCGAAAAAAAAACCGTTTTTTTCGCCTGCTCAATTTTTCCGGAAAATTTAAAACCCTTTAGATAGTTTTTTGTTGGACTGAGAAAGACTACTTAAGATTTGGGGGCCCTTCTGGACCGGGGGCCCGTGACAAACACATATTTCACATAAAACAATTACCCGATTCAATAGTACAAAATATCGGAACGATATTTTGTACTTTTGTTCTTACAAAATTTCAGTCGCCAGGTCTTGATTTTTCTATTATTTTAAAAAGTATTTTAAATAATGACGCGTTACGAAAATGACGATTTAAATAATATTTAATTTTTGCTATTGTCTAAAAATCTGATTATTTAAAATTGATTGATATCCAATACGAAATCTCAAACATCATGTGTGTGTGTGTTCAGTACATAAAAGTTATAAAGCTATACAATTACCAGCCAGTAAAATAAATCCTGACTCATTAAGAATCATATAATTTACAATTTAATAAATTGCTCATTTAATTAACTCATTGATTAAAGAGTTTAGCAGACAAAGCGTTAAAGCACGATAGATTTAATGCCTACATGACAAAATCAATTGTCAGTGTAAAAGACAAATTATGCATTACCTACTTAATTATTTACGGCAAAGTGTCGCAATTCATTAGAAACAATACAAAACAGGGGCGTGCTGGCTGAATCAATGCAGGCCTGGACTAGATGGTAGAGCAGTCCAGGCCCAAGCCAATTTCATATAAATTGTAAAAATACATCACAATTAAATACCTCTACTGATAAAACCTCCCGTATTAAGTCACAATCTAAACCATTTTGCACCTTTCTGTTCACAGCAATCATCATAAAAGCTTCCAAATTTACGTCACTTCACTCTAATATTAAAGGATTAAATCATTAATTAATTTCTCTATAAATTCGAGCTGATCCCCCCTTCCGAAAATTTTATAAATTTACTAAAATTGCATTTTATCGAAGTGGCCCCGGATCAGTTTGGATTTTCAAAGAAACGGAAAAATTATTACGAAAGCATCCAAAATATCCCCACGGTTTAGGGTTTCCACCTGCGACTTCTTGATTAAGGGTTAGCGTAAAAAATACGTGTTTTAGATTTTTTTACGGAAGTCAATTAAAACTTTCTTTTTATTTTATTTATTTTAGTGTTTAGTGATATAACTTGAAAAAACTTTTTGTTTGGTATAAAAATCTTTGTTCTATTTGCATACCATAACAAGTCCAGCAGACCACCATGGTAGCGCAGGCCACCGGGCATTCGCCCGGTGTCCCGGCGGCCCAGCACGCCCCTGATACAAAAGGTCGTAAAATAACTTTATGCAGGTGAAGATGCTGTGGTGATATTGAGGTCAACGGATTGGTCGTTTTAAAAATTTGAATGATTTCGAGAATGATTCAAATGCATAAAATCAAAACATTTGATTTTTATAAATAATTAATTATTAATTATATATTATACTTTGTATTTTTGTTTATGAACTACTTAATATTGTATACATTTTCTTTATAGTTAAATAAAAAAATACTTAAATTCACGTTTTTATGGTTATAATATTCTCTTAAAATATAATATATTATGCATTAGAGATTCCAAATTAGAAACTTTACACCTACACCCAAACACTATTTAGGATTTAAAATTGAATTTGTAAATAGTGGCATAGTTTCCATTTGAAACGTGTATTGTAAGAGTAAATTAATATGTACAAGAAATAAGCATTATAACGATTACTTTTTAAGGCTCATTTAATTCCTGATTAATTAAAATTAATGTTTTTTTTTTAGCTGACCACATTGGCGGAAGAAGTGGACGTGGTGGAGGCGATACCATCGGATGATCTTAAGGACCATGGAAAAGAAAGCAATGAAGCGAATCCAGATCAGCTCGCTCTGGAGTCGATCGATGACCAGGATCAACCTCCACCGAAACACCTAGCCTTCAACGGGCCGCCCAGAGTACCCATCAACTTGCCGCCACGCGGAGGTCCTGGTCATTACCCTCATAAAGGATATGGTATACCAAAGAATAAACAGCCTCAGTATGAAAGCAAGAATTCGTACAATGGACCCCCACCTCCTCCACCCAAGCAGGCTATGGATAAGTACGGAAGTGCTGGTGGTGAGATTTGGCCTGCGCCTGTACCGGAAATGCCCAAAATTGTATCCCTCGACGTAAAATGCGAAAAGAATTTGATGAAGGTTTACATTGGTTTTGATAAGCCTTTCTATGGTATTATCTTCAGCAAGGGGCATTACAGCAACGTACACTGCGTGCATCTGCCAGCAGGGTTAGGTCGCACTTCTGCACACTTTGAAATTGGAATACATGCTTGCGGCACATCCGGGAATACCGAGAATGGATTATATGGATATGGAGCGGAATCAGGATCTGGTACTTTCTTCGAAAACATCATTGTTATTCAGTATGACCCGCAGGTTCAGGAAGTATGGGATCAAGCTAGAAAACTTCGCTGCACCTGGCACGATCAATACGAAAAATCCGTCACTTTTAGACCATTCCCTGTGGATATGCTCGACGTCGTCAGAACTGATTTCGCTGGTGATAACGTCGGCTGCTGGATGCAAATACAAGTCGGCAAAGGACCGTGGGCTTCCGAAGTTTCCGGTTTAGTTAAAATCGGGCAAACAATGACTATGGTTTTAGCCATTAAAGACGACGACTCCAAATTTGATATGTTAGTGAGAAACTGCATGGCTCACGATGGCAAACGTGCCCCAATTCAACTGGTCGACCAGAAGGGCTGCGTTACTCGACCAAAACTAATGTCCAGATTTACAAAGATAAAGAACTTCGGAGCTAGCGCTTCAGTGTTATCTTACGCTCACTTCCAAGCGTTCAAATTCCCCGATTCCATGGAAGTGCACTTCCAGTGTACGATACAGATTTGTAGATATCAATGTCCTGATCAATGTTCAGACAATAACAGCGGCCATCTTGGTATTCATAGTAGTTTACTGGAACTTCAGGCTGGACCAGAACATCACACTGCTTACGGTCCTCCACCACAAATTCCTCTTGAAGCGTATCTACATGGAGGCAGACCCAGGGACGAAAGAAGAGTCAGGAGGGCGTTGGGAGTCGATCCGGAGAAAGAAGTGGGAGTCAACAGGATAATCCGGGTTGTGTCCACCGGAGATTTAACGTTTTCCCTGGACGATAGCAGTAACACTACCTCAACCCCGCAAACAATGATCTTCCCTGGAAAAGAAGAACTTACCAGCAATGGCCTTATTTGCATGACAACGCCTAGTTTTGCTGCAACTCTTGTAGTATTGTTAGCTATTTTAATTATTTCTTGTCTTATGTCTGCCATATTATGTGTTAGGTTAAGACCCTTTTCCGAAAATAAGTTGGCTGAAGTCATAGGCTATTCGAATACGCAAAAGAGTAAACAATCAAGAAAAAGTTGTTTGTTTTCATAAATTAAATTTCATAACGAGGTTTTAATTTGTAAGGCTACATGCATGGTCATGAAACTAAAGGCTTTATCGATACCGGATTCGAATCCGTAATGATAGGGCCTTTAATTTATTAGATTATTATTCAATATAATGTGATCAAGCATTGTATCCATGTGTATTTCCATTTTTGGAAACCGTATTAGCTATAAGGTTACCTACCTGCACAAAAATAAATATTCTGGGATGACTGTAGATTAGATAGCTACAATTTTTTTTAATTTACTTCACATTTACTTTCAAATTTTTTACATGTAAATAATTTAATTAATATAGTCCCTACAGTTAATTTCGGAATTTTGGACGGTTGTGGATGTTACATTATATAAGACATAGATTTTAATTATTTATTTATTTATTTAATTTATTTATTTATTAAAATATTATTAATTGTTATTTTCAACTTGTTATGTACCTGTATACAAAAAATTAAACAATAGATATGTTTAGATAGAATAATAAATTTCAGATGTTAACTATTGTTTGTACTCAAAATTATTTCAAATAAAATATAAATATTTAATTTTTGTTTTAATATTAATCTACAATTAAATTACCTACATTTCCAAGGGGGGACTCGAAAAAATTTAATCGAATGCTCTGTCACTTATCCGATTTATAATTCCAAGCAGTGACGGTTTTGGATTAACGTTTTTATAAAATAATCTCAAAAGTACAAGAAAATATATTTTTTTTGACGGATCGATTTTAAATCAACCTTTTAGTCCAGTCAAACCGTGGTGAAAATGGCCTGACTTTGCGTACTGAGGCACTGTCTGTTTTTTTTTTCATGGATCGATATGGGCCTATTTGCACAACTTCAACATTTTTTCTCACATGGATATACCCAAACAATTTTTTTTTTTAAGTTTTAGCGAATATCTCGGCCACCGTATATTGCACAATAAAAATTAAAATTATTAATATTTCCAATATAATTTGACTAAAGTACTTTTTGTTTAAACAAATGAGTAAAAATTAAAAATTTGTGTTGGTTTTATTTTTTTAAACTTTTTTGCAAATATTTCGCAAATGGTATATTTTATTATAAATTATTATGATTAACATTTTGTACCTTTTTAATATTCTACAATTACAAAAAAAATAGAGCTCGGTGCGACTAACGAGAGCTGACCAATACTCTCACTTTTTCTCACTATAGTATAGGACTTTAGGGAAAGAGTCGCAGGCGCGTTTTTTTATTGAGGTATTTTTAAGTCTATTCCACGTCAAAATATATTTTTTTCTTCTATTTGATCGTTTGACTGTTATTTTTTTAGTGTCGTTCGTACGCCAGCATAAAATGATAACGACGTGATGATGGTTTCGTTTCTCCCGGCTTAGAGGTCATTGTTGGCTTAAGCTTTAGCCCCCCTGTTAGGAATATGATATCCTATTCCTATATTTTATTTATATTTAAAACTAAATAAACCTACTTATAACACTGAAACGACAATAAAATTATATTATACAAGAATATTAAATTTCCTTATTTTGTTCATACAAGTTTTGAGTTTCACGTAAGTTTGTTAGCTATAAAACGCATGTAAAAAACAATGTGTTTAACAGGTTTTTAAATGTATTGTTATACTATTTTACTATTTGTGTTTATGACAATTTCATTAAGATTTTACCTTCACACAAAGAAACTAAAATATACTTAAATTACAACCTCCTTGAAATGGGTTTGAAATTTACAAAGTATTTAATTTTATTTAAGTACAATCAGGTAAAATAGGTATCTATACATATACAGGGTGTCCCAGAAGTCGCGCACCTCCCTGAAGGTTTATGATCTAGGGGCCCCAAGGAATTCCAGAAAATTGTTTAAAAAGGTACAGGGGATAAACATTTTTTTAATGAGAACATTGCGTACTAATAAAGTGGTAGTTCGATTCTTAATCATCATGACAACAAACAACAATAACTTTTACCTAGAGGTTTAGACTTGACAGAAGCAATTACTCTCTGCCAGGAACTAATAAAACCAAAGATGAAATCTTTGAAGATAAAATAAACAAATATTAACATTGACCACACACAAGCTAAATGACATTTTTAGGCATTCTCCAAACACAACATACATATCACAATACTCAGTGACTACTACTCACTAAAGAAAAACATATCAATATTTAACAGAAACCATAATTATAATTTAAAGGGCTTGCTTTACAGGGCGAGAGCATAGTTTACCTCTTCCTGACCGGACTATAAATTCGTCCAATTTGTCCCAATCGGGCAGACTGATCAGGGACGGATAATAATTAATAGAGCTTGCCTACCCTATGAAACAAAGCATAAATCATTTCAATATACAAGGGGTCCCTAAACTTAGTGGCATAAATTCGGGAGCAGATTAAGCAAGTTAAAATAAGACGAAAATCTAAATAAATATTTTTCCTAATTACGTATGTTTAAAAGATACAGGGTGATAAAGTGTTACTTACAAATCAGTTTTTTTAATATAACTTCTACTGTGGTGGACTTGGAAAGGTGATATTTTGCGAACAGTCACTTACTACCAAAACACATATTCACATATAATTACAATTGTTCGAGTCAACACAGTGTCGTAGAAACAGGGCTTGCTTAAGCTAATTGTCCCATACAAACTTTGAGGTTAGGTTTTTATACCATTTGATGCAATTTTTCGATTTCTCAGTTCGGCTACTATTAAAAAGGTATACCTCTCAAACTTCGATAAAATAAACCGTTTCCGAGATATTCGAGATTACAATAATTGTTAAATCGCATTAAAGGACTAGAAGGTATATGATAACAAATTTTTTAATTGAAAAAACTACAATTTTTTTAATGTGACGGTCAGGGCAAAAAGGCCCGAGGCTCATGGAATGGTCTTTTTAGTTTTTTCAATTAAAATATAAAATTTGTTATCATATTCCTTTTAATACTTTTAAATAATGCGATACAACAATTATTGAAATCTCGAATATCTCGGAAACGGTTTATTTTATCGAAGTTTGACAGGTACACCTTTTTAATGGTAGCCGAACTGTGTAATCTAAAAATTGCATCAAATGTTATAAAAACCTAACTTCAAAGTTTGTATGGGACAATAAGCTTAGAGCAACCCCCATCTCTACGACACTGTGTTCACTTAAACAATTATAATTATGTGTGAATATGAGTTTTCGTAGTAAGTGACTGTTCGCAAAATATCACCTTTCCAAGACTACCATAGTAGAGGTTATATTGAAAAAACTGATATGATAAGTAACACTTTATCACCCTGTATCTTTTAAACATACGTAATTAGAAAAAATATTTATTTGGGTTTTCGTCTTATTTTGACTTGCTCAATCTTTTCCTAAATTTATGCCAATAAGTTTAGGGACACCTTGTATATTTTAAATAAAATTGGCTCTAGCATTATGGACAAGTATGAAATTTACCCAATTTTTGACTTTGGATGGGTACTGACTGGAAGTTATACGATAAAAAAAATAAATAATAGTGGTTTAGTATTTTTGGTATCTCAAATATTATCCTCATTTTTTTTATTAAAATTAAAAATCATGAGGCACACCCCATTTATTAATTTCATATAAAATTACTCTTTTATATAGCTAGGCGCTAAAACAATAATTATTACCAGCAATGCTGGTGATAATAATTTTAACCAAGTCGAGTTGAATTTTCTATGCCTTTCTAACTCTTTGTACAATCTTAAAAACGAAAATACAGCGCTTCAAAGTCGTCAAAAGCAAAATAATCAAAAATGGGTCATTTTTACCGACTTTGAAGGGCTACAGCCGCGTTACTGTCCGTTTGATTTGTACAAAATTTTTAGGGTATACTAACAAAAATACGGACTTTAACAGTATATTTTTTAATTACTTAAAAAAAAATTCCCTAAAAGTTATTTTTCGAACGTTTTTTTATTATTAAATAAAAGGGCTTTAAAAATATTTTCTCGAAAAACCCTCGAACACGTAAACTGAGATATAAGTTGAAGTATTTTTACACAAATTTTCATAAAGATTGGTTAATGGCGTTTTAGAATTAGAATTTTTTTACTTATTATGCGTTAATTTTGAAGGACAGTGTATTACAAAATAAAAGAAAAAAATCGTCAAAAAGCTAAATTTTGGTCTTCCACTAAAAAAATTCTCAACTTCGCCATTTATCCATGGAACAACATTAGCATGTTTTTTTTTGTAAAAATGTCAGCTTTACGAAAAAAATTCAAACTAGAGTTATCTGTTTGATTTAAACCTTTCTCCAGGACGATATGTAAATTTTTGCCATAAAAACGACTTTTTTAAGTTTATAAAATGGCTAGCATCAAAATACTTTTCCGATATCAAAAGTATGCAGAAGAAAGTTTTAGAAGGCTCAAATTCAAGCTATACTCAAAAACGTCAAAACACCTCCAACAATATTATTGAATATTAAAAAAAAACAATTGAAAATTCATATCCCAAAAACGCTTCCAAAAAAAATGAGTTTGATTTTCGTATTTGGTGGGTCAAAATACATGTTAAATTATGTGGGCACAATTTTTTTTTAGATTTTGTAGTGTTATTAAACCATACAGCAAGCCATATTTTGACTTGTGTGGTGTAAAATTATACCAACTGATAATTTAAAACTAGTAGGAAAATGTGGATGTGATGCATCATCTGGTCAGGCTGAATATAAGCAACGAATTTCGGAAGGTTTCACAGATGTGTTTATATGTACCATTACAGCTAAAATACTATAACGAAAAGGTCCTTTGGGATAATGATCACCCTTCTTCAATTAAATACTGTAGGCCAATCATGTTTCAAGATGCGAAAGAAGATGCCCAGAAGACTAGGATGGTAGTAAATGGCATAATGAGCCAAATTCATAATTTACAACCACTATTAATTTCAGTTGGAGAAGGGAAATTTAGTGTAAATTATCTTTTATTTACCACCATGGTCGATGGTAAGGTAGTACAAGCCATCACCGAAACAACATCTTCCGCAACTTGTTCTATTTTTGGTGCCAAACCTACAGAAATTAATAAATTAGGGCATATAGGAAAGATGTTCAGTAAGATGCCCTTCAATACGGCTTGTCCAGTCTACATGCCTGCATACGATTCATGGAGTGCATTGTGCATATAGGGTAAAATCTTTCCTTCAAAGTTTGGTCAGCTTGCTCTGTACCCAATAAAAGCGCAAGGATGTACCAAAATAAGGTTCCGGTTCATCTAGTGATGGCAAACTGTCAGAAGGTTCTTTTCCCAGCCAGAATGGGGTAGTTAAATTTTTTCTGACCTATACTTTTTATGGTTTTATTCAAGGCGTTTTGTAATTTTAAACATTTCTGTGAAA